GGTCGCGGCGAAGCTGAACATTGTTCCCGTGCGCCGCGGCTACTGGGGCAACAAGATTGGTGAGCCGCACACAATCCCGATGAAGGTGACGGGCAAGTGCGGCTCCGTGGCCGTCCGCCTGGTCCCCGCACCGCGTGGCACCGGCATCGTCGCCGCCCCCGTCCCGAAGAAGATTCTGGAGTTTGCCGGCGTCGAGGACGTGTACACATGCTCCTGCGGCAAGACCCGCACGCGCGGCAACTTCATCATGGCGACCTTCTATGCCCTGCGCAAGACCTACGGCTTCCTGACACCCGACCTTTGGGCCGAGACGGAGGTCTCGCGCGACCCCACGGACGAGCACTCGGACTTTCTCACCATGGGAGGCAAGATGATCGCCGCGTGAGGCACATACTGGTAATAGTACTAGCTGCATATGTTTTTCGTTTTTGTTTTTCAAGCCGTTTTTTTGCTTTTCATTTTCTCACGATTGAAATGGGAGGGGTTAACTCTCCATGGCGTGCAGTTGTTTCCTTGGGCATCTTTCTTGCTGTTGTCGGTGTGACAGATGCATGGTTGATTTGAATTTTCCCCCGTGTTTTTTTTTTGTCTTCTTATAATTCTTTTCAAAAACGGCGAAAAAAAAAAGTTCGCGGTGGCTGCGCATATGCGGCGAGTTATCAAGTTGTCTTTTATCTGCGTCTCACTTCGGCACGTTGCCTCTGCTGGCAAGGTGGATGCTGGTGCAGAGAATGTATGCACTGAGCGAGGCGTCGGGTCATCATTATATGGAACTCTGAACAATGCCACGGTTCTGCCCGCGGTGAGGCTTGCCTTGCGGGTTGTCAACCCTTGTCAGGAGTTTCCGGCGACGCCGGTTGGCGTGGAGCTGCCCGACCACCGTGATCCCTGTGTACTTTGGCGCGAGTACTACTCCTTTGACCACGGCAAGCCGTACTACCATAACCTACGAACGAATGATACGGCCTTTGCGCCGCCCTCTGGTTTCAAGACACGGTTTGCGTTGTTTCATCGTCGCCAAGGCCTCCACGTCGACGCTGAAGCTCGTGTGCATACGCAGGCGACGGTGGAGGGTGGTGGAGGGGCGGATAAGGCTGCTGTGGGGGGGTCTGAGGGAAACGGCGGTTCCCCTCCCCTGCCCGGCGAGGGCGGCTCACTCACGACGAGGCAAAAGTTAGCGGCGTATGGGGGCGGTGGGTTGTTGCTGTACATCATTGTACACAATATTCTTCTCGCATGGATCTTTTTTTCGCTTTACTTTTTGCACTTTGACCTAGTGGGCCTTGCACGATCGTACGGGTTTCGTGTTGGCGGCGCCAGGACGGAGTCCAGCGACGGCGACAATGCCGCCGTGGCCGAGAAGAACCCGTCCTTTTGGGCCACACTGGGCGTTTCGATTTTGCTGAACAAACTCTTGGTGCCACTGGAGTTTGCGGTAACTCTTATGATGGCGCCCATGCTCGTTCCACGTCTGCAGCCCTTTGCGTCGAGGATTATTCCTCGCATAAAATCCTTCATGAAAGGCTGACGAATTGGGCCTCTCCCAGTGCGAGAAAACAGACAACCAAAACGAAAACAGGCATCGAGTAAACAGCAGCACGAGAGCGAGGAAACAAAAAAAAAGATGAATAATTAAAGAAACGCCTCAAACGACACAACTTCGGAGAAAGTGGGCAGGTAACTATGGAGGGCCTCACGCTCTGAAGCCATGTTAGTTCTGGCCTCAAAGCGGTCGATGAACAGGAGCCTTCGATGGGCCGTAGTTGCCTCTCTGGGCGTAAATGCGATGCACAGACCTTTTTTTTTGTGTGTTTTTTTTTTCTAATTTGGGCACTTGCAACTAGAGAGTCTGTGGCACGCATGCGCGAGTGCAGAGCCGGTTAAGGCGTTTTCTTTTTTAGTGTTATTATTATTAGTTTCTTGCTGCTCGCTTGTTGCCTGTATTCCTTTCGTATTCCCGTTTTTTTTTTTTGCTTTGCAGAAATCCTCGGGCGATGGTGCACTACTCAAGGAAACCTCAGGTGAGCTCGAAGAGCGCCAAGGCGAAGGTCAGTGATCTTCGCTGCCACTTCAAGAACACGTTTGAGACGGCGAACGTGATCAACGGCATGCCCCTTCGCAAGGCCCAAAAGCTCTACCGCCAGGTTCTCGCCAAGACCCGCTGCATTCCCTTCAAGCGCTACAATGGCAAGATTGGCCGTACCGCGCAGGCCAAGGAGTGGGGGCAGACGAAGGGGCGCTGGCCACGCAAGTCGGTTGTGGCGATGCTCTCACTGCTGAAGAACGCTGAGGCAAACGCCATTGAGAAGGGTCTTGACCCCAACAAGATGGTCATCAAGCACGTGCAGGTGGATGAGGCTGCCCGTATGCGCCGCCGCACGTACCGTGCCCACGGCCGTATCACGCCGTACATGTGCAGTCCGTGCCATGTGCAGCTCTTCATGACACAGCCCCAGGAGCGCGTCCCTGTACCAAAGAGCCAGC